CCCCCGAAAGGAATAAAGGGGGCAACATCCATGGGAACGTTCACACTGTTGCCATAAGCGCGTAGAACAGAGTGGACTGAAGTCTGAATCACCTTTCGCGGATCAATTATCATTTTCCTGGGATTGATTACATTTTTCCTGTCGGGCTCTCTGTGAACATGCTGTAATATGTTAACACCCGGCACAGTATTCCAGGATGAAATGTTGAACGCATGAGTAGATATGGTTTCTGGGAAGATATGGTTCTCAAAGAGGAAAATGCCAGTCCCCGGGTTTTGCTCCTGAAGACTGCTCATCATTGTCATCCAGTCTGGGTGCTTAAGGGGAAGAATTATTTCATCAGCATCAATAAGAACCACAAACTTGCTCCTCTGCATGTTACGGTATATACAGTCATTTAAAGCTGTGATTTGTCCATAGTAGCCAATGTGTGTTCCATCTTGCATGAAATGCCATTTAGAAGAAACCTTGAGGTGTGAGTTTATTGGCCAGGGAATTATCTCTACAGTTCCTTCTTCCATATAAAACTTCAAGACTTTCTCCATCAGATGGCTGCAGTTGTTCTTATAGATCACCACTTTCTGTACCCCAAGAATCTTGTACATTTCCATACTCTGTATAAACTGCAAGACATTGTTGTAATTTCCAAACATGGCAGAGATGCATACAGTGAAGTCAACAGAAAAGGTCTCAGCTTTGCGGTTTTTAATTTCAAACCTTGGCAGCTGGTCAGTATTTCCAGGTGGAGACTGATGAATCGATACATGTGTTGGCTCACAGTTTTTGAGTTCCAAACAAACTATATCTGCTGCACCGTAAGGGAATCCAAATCTATCTGAGTGGACATCAATTTTTGCTTTTGATGCATACATCTTTCCATCGGGCTGACAGCAGAACCAGCAGTATAGTTGTTTTACATCTTCATGGTGAACAATCCCAATCACATGAGTGATTTTGCTTTCTCTGTCATCAAAGTATGGGGATATAATAAAAGTTCTGTTATCTTTTAATGCTGTTATTACATTTTGAGCACGTTTTCCCCTACAAAGCTGACCTGCTGTACTGGCATTTCTTGCCTGGGGGAAGATTTTTCTAGTTGTATTATTCCGTAGCTGAGCTTTCCAGGAGCAGATTAAAAAGCTTCCAAAATAATACATGCAACAACAGCACAAATATGCTTTTTTCCACAGTGTATCATTGCTGAATTTCACAGTTTGGAACTTAACAAACCTTTACACTCAGTCTGCTATTCACTTCCTCTAAAACAAAACACACAAAAAGCACACTTTCAGTGATTTGCCAAAAAGAATTAATGTTTTGCATTGAACTGTATTCTCTTAAATGCAATAGTTACTGTTTTGATACTTCAAACTTTAGTGTGAAGACCTGACTTTTCATACAGGATTGGAAAAAATTGAGAGATTCTCTTACACCTCCTCATTCTGGACTTTATTATGTTTTACTCTACAGCTGGGCCCAGTGCAACAGTGTCAGCTCTTGGTATACGGTAATGGTAATATAGTGTAATTTTATCACTTTGAGGCCTGGAAGAAATTTCATGTCAGTGAAAACCCACATTCTTTACCTTCTGGTATTCTGAGAAGCTTGTAAAATGATAGTGTTACCCTTTCCCCTCTTCTTCCTAAAAAAGTTGCTGTGAACACAAATTCAAACTGCATTCTTTTTTGTATTGGGTAGGAGTAATCCTGTCACAGTCTCTCAGTGTCCTGATTCCCATGTCACAAAGAAAATGTTTTCAGAGCAGAGTGTGTTTTCAGAGCCTAGTAGGATCCTATGGTATTCAACATTATCTAGGAAAAGCGGTTTGAAAAGGATTACCTTTTCACTTGTTCAGGTGGCTGAGACTACCTTAAATGTAAACTACTTTTGCCACTAAAGATGCCAAGTCTCAGACCAGTTCTAAATCGGCAGTTGATTTCAGTAGGACTTTTGTGACCCTTCACTGGGACCAGATGCACTACTGAACTTATTAACCTTGCCATGGAAACTTCAAGTTCTCCAAGATGCTACCAAATCAGACTACAAAATGAAGATTTTCTGTATACAATCACAGTTCAATATTTACACATGCTTAAACCATCTAGCAGATGGAAGGCAAATTAAACCAAAACCAAACTAAACCAAACCTTGCTTTATTCTATGAGCGTCCATGAGGGCGTGATACATCACAAAACCACATCAGAACAATTAATCATTGTCTGTACCATTTGTAGGTGTTCTGTCCTCTTTTGTATACACTCAATCTTAGCTGATTAACAACCACTTTCTAATTATGCACAAAACTGCCACTTTAGTTACAGCTCTTTTCTGACTTCAGAGTACTAGGTTTGAAGAGCATGATGAAAGCACTGCTGCCTGGTGTAATTTGCAAATCCAGGATGTTGCTTAACTGTTCTTGTTTATTTTTTGGTCTCAAAAAATGTAAGAAGTTGTTTTGAACGATGTATAATGATGCATTCTCTAAAGTTAAAATCTTGTGTTGCTCTGTGCAAATTGTCGTGTAAGCTGTACATCTTCCCCTTTCATGCAAGTATTGGTATTCACCAATTTTAAGATTACACTGCATGTGCAGAATAGTTTTTCTAACATGCTCACAAAGTTTAAAGTTACTCTGTTCTGCAGAAGATGTCTCCTCATCTGCTTTAAATACTTCTAATATTGCCTCCTCAATTAACCAATAAAATTCAAACATGCTTTTTGTCATTAGCTCACTAGTAGCTAAGCAGGACCTTGCAAGTGATATTTGCATCGAAAAGATGACAAGATATAGAAAAGTAGGGCTGCATCATCAGTTATCAGTTTGCACCAAAGTTATTTCATGTCTGCACAGAGACGGGTGCTAGGTGGTAACCCCACAAAGCTAGCACACACTTGAAATGCAAAGAGGGTCTTATATACACATCAGGATCAAGGAAAAGTGGTAACAAAATGCATGATTGGTTGCAAACAATTTATATAACAAAAGTGCTTCTATGCATGTCTAGATAATTACCCAATTCATTATATTAAGGTCGTCTTACATTTACATACTCATTATGCACAAGTGGGTATCATTTTTAATGTTAAAAACAGGCTAGATTAGCTAAGGACACCCTTTTTTCTTGACACTACTCCAGAACTGGACACTTGTGATATAAATCAGAAGTAAGGCAATAGCATTGACAGAACCTCATTGTTTACCTCCTTGCTTCAATGGATTCAATGTAGGGACCTTCCATTCTTGTTCCTATGGTTTCAATCACAGATTGTCCTTCCGACATCAGAATCTTCCCTGTATTCAGCTTGTCATTACTACTCAGCAGCATAAGCAATAAAGGTCACTAAAACTATCACAATCTGTGAATTTCTTATTTACAGAAAACAAAGTTTTCAAAATCACACCAATAAATAACATTTTTTCTGTGGTTATTGCTAAATGTATAGCTTATAAGAGCTTTAGGTAAGGTTTTTAATTTTTTTTTGGTCTGTTTTTTAAAAAAGGTTTAGAGTGAATAATACTACAGCTATCTAATATTAATTATAATCTTCAGTAGACTGATGTCAAGAGGGACACCGCCCTAAAAGCACCACAGTCATCTTGTTTTTTTCTTCCTGACTAGATTCAGATTAAGCACTTGAGCTGCAAGGGCTGCAGTGTACACACAGTACTTTCAGGCAAACAGCGTAGCCACCTAACTGGAAATCTTAAAATCTCAACAAGTCTTTTGGGTTTAGTGTGAGAACTAGAAAAGTCTGCACTAAGACAATTTTAACTAGCTGTCTGCGGCTTTTCTGTGCACAAGGAAGATTCATATTAAACAGAATTTTCTCAGTTAAATTTGGTTGCCAACTGTGTTTTCCTAATCATCAGATTTTAGTAATTTCCCTACACTAATAATTTGTATTATTTCCATAATTCAGAAGGAAATTAAATATTTGGCACTATCTTATCCACTCTGTTGTATTTTATACCATCTTGCACTTCTTGTGTGTTTTATTTAATTGTACTGAAAGTTCTTTAGGTAATAATGACAATGAAATTTATAACACTAGTGGCACATTCTTCTTTGGTGATTGCAACCAATACATATGAACTTTGTCAGAAACGAAAGTGAAATTAGTTTATCCTTGTATTGTACAAAATTATCAAGATGACTGAAGTAACACAGCTGGGCAGCAGCTTCATTCTCATCTTTTTCTCTCATATTCTTTTTACCTTCTATTTAAAAAAAAAAAGTGTGATTTTTCTTGCTAAACAACCTGTTGCAGCTAGTTAAGCAACCTCTTACCACCATTGTCTCATTGTTATCTCTTCTCGTACATAACAACAACCCACTATTTTCTCATCCTCTTTCCCCACACATCTGTTCTTACAGAATCCTCCTATGCCACTGTGCCATTTTAGAAACATTGACTGTTTTTGCTAGAGGGAAACACACACTTCCGCTTCCCTCCTCCTCATTTTTTTTCCTTCAGAAAAGGCATAAACTGGGCCTAGAATTCAGAGCAGCTGTGGATGCCTCCATTTCTCAGCGTAGAGACAACCACGTCAGAGAGCAGCGAGGGCTGGCAGCTCTGCAAGCAACAAGCAGCTGGCACCTGTGGGGGAGAAGCCAGCTGGCAGGGTAGGGGCTTTAGCAGCCAGGGCCCCATCCCTCTGTACCTGAGGCGAGCAGGGCTGGCCACGCTTAGGACCGCAGCCAGGTTCAAACACCTGTCTGGGGTCAACCCCCCCGTCCAGACCACCCGGCAAGTCCGTGGGATGCGGCAGATCTGAGGCCAAGCTGGGAAGCCAAACCACGGGTCGGGTCAGGTCCAGTGGCTGCTGGGCAGGTCTGTGGGGACAAGGCAGGAGCAAAGCCAAGCCGTTCAGGGGCCGGATCCATGGGGTCTGTGGGACATGGGCCTGAGCCTCCTACAGCAGAGCTCAGGCAGGGGCTGAGGGCCCAGGGCTGAGCTTAAATGGGCTCCTGGGCCTGTGGGTGCAGGGCTGTGGGGGTCCCAGGTGGGGTTGCTCAGGGCCATTAGGGCAATTAGTACCCACACGGCCCTAACAGAATGCTTTAAAACCGTACTTCCTTTTTAACTGAGGTACAAGAACTCAACACATATGCTTATCAGATAGACCAGTTACTTAAAAAAAACAAACCAAAACCAAAAAACCAGACCACCAACACCATGACAAACCAAAAAATTATGAGAAAAAAATTCTTTCACCTTTAAGACTTCACATTTACTTTCATAGAACTGTACTACAACACCAGAGTTGCATCAATTTGCCCTGGGCACTATGGATATTTCAAAGGGCTTGTGCTCCTACCTGGAGCCCTCTTCTCCTTTTCTAAAGGAACTGTGTCACTTCATAGTTGGAGGCGACTCCAAATTTCGATACTTATCTTTGACTTACTTACAGTTTCTTCGGGGAAATCTCCGTTCAAGGAGATCTCTTCTACTAGCCCCTAACGTGATGTCAGGAGATTACTAAGCTGAAGGAAGAGTGGGAGTCAGCAAGAGGTGTGTCTCTTGGCCTGATCCTTTGCGACTTTGTGTAAATAACTGGCAGAAGGAACCAAGCCATTGTCAATTGGACTTTGTACCGATATGGCCCTCTTTCCTGGTACAGCTTTCCTTGGTGGCTACATTAATTGTTAATTAACTTTAGAGAGAGAGGAATGTTTGAACACGTTAAAAAAACATCCTGAGATACATGGACAAGTTTCCAGTGTTTCTGTGGAAATGGAAAGTTCACTGAGCATTTCTGTTTATTCTGCTTAGTAAAAGGTAAGGGAGAAACAATGAAGTTCAGAGGCAGATAAGAAGGGAGACTAAAAGGGTCACTTAAAGACACAAAGGAATCACTTGGCCCATTTACCTTAAAGCATAGGCAAAGAAATTAGCTCATGAGAAACATTTACAAAATAATAACTGGAGGAGAAAAATACAAAAACCAACAACCACCCACCCCTTAAGGCCCTTTATTATCTCATTGCCCCTTTTCTCAGTTCAAAAATTCAGCAAATTTAGAAAAGTTCTAGATGTAATCATCACTTGGGTGATCTCTTTAGGGCTGATGGAGCCCTATGCCCCTCATAATGCATGCCAAGATTGGCACTTGGGCGTAAGCCCAAGTGTGAATTGCGTTCACTGTCTGTGTGTG